TTTTTTTTTTTTTTTTTATAGTAAAAGTTAAGAATGCGAAAGAAGTCGAGCTCGATCGAAAGCTTACTGGAAGGTATATTGGAAAATAAAATATTATGTGGATAATCTTTGTAAAATATCACTGATAATATCTATAATGTCAGTAATTTATGGTATTTTTTACCAAAATTCTTATTTTAATGTATATTCTTATTTTAGTTATGATTTAACTTGGTTATCGTATTTTATCACATTATCACAAGTTATGTTTAAATAACTCATGGAGAAATGTTGTTTCTATGTTTAATAAATCTGGTTTCCACTCTGTGAAGAATCTTCAAGAAATTATCACGATTATTAATTTAAATTATTAAAAATATCATTTTAAATGAAAATTTCCCACAAATATGATCGTTACTCAATCTTAATTCTCGAGTTATACGCAAAATTAATATATTTAATACTTTTAATAATAAATATATTCGATTATTTAATTAAATTCTAATCCACACCAATTAACTATGTATATTGTAATTACTGATTCTACGAGAAAATTCTAATGAACAGTACCAATTTAACAAAGCACAAATTCTATTCAATATTCCATCTTAATTTAATTCAATTTTCCTTTTTCTAACATTTAAAAATTTTTTGTTCCAGGCGAGAAACCGCACAAATGCGTGGTCTGCGGCAAGGCGTTCTCCCAGAGCAGCAATCTGATCACGCACATGCGCAAGCACACAGGCTACAAACCGTTCCAATGCGGCCTCTGCGACAAGGCGTTCCAGAGGAAGGTCGATCTTCGACGGCACAGAGAGGGACAGCATCCAGCAGCACCCGCCCTTGACTATCGCTCCCTCCAATTACCCTCGCAGCCCGCCAATATTAGACACTCTCCACCCCTGCAGCCTGCCTCCTCTTATCACATGATACCTGTCCCCGGTAACAGTTGAGATTCTTTATCAAGTTGATCGCATTCACGGAATCTCCCTTGAATCTTCGTGCGTCCGTCACTGTTTGCTTCTTGCTTCCCTCTTTGTCTCCGTGTATCATTGAGAGGAAGTGTGAAGTAGAAAGTGGTGAATTGTTGGCAAGTGGTCGAAATGAATTCGAAATAGGTTTGTAGAACGGAAGACAAGGAATGGATAGGTAGTTATGCGAATGTGGGTCTGAAATTGAGGATGATGGGTCGATGATGATACACTTGCTCGTTGTTTGTTAACAGTTCAATGAAGATTGGATACGAAAGAAAGTAGTATTTATTGGAAATTAATGTTGGATACATTTTAATGAATTATTAAATATCCGAGTTATATTTGTTTTCGGTAAAAAAGATATTAAATTTTAATTTTAAAAGATTATATTAAAAATTAATCTTATAGGGATATATATAATATATTTGTTTAAGGATAATGATACGTACTTCTATTCAAAATTTATCGATGAAATATAAAAAAAAAGGCATTAAATAACAAAAAAAAGAGTTTTATTATAAGAAAAGATAAAAGTCTACACATAAAACGATAAAATTGATTGTAATTGGTGATATTTAATATAAGATTCTATTTCGAATGGACCCATCATAATCGAAGAATCGCACATTCTAAAAAAAAAAAATGATCGTTTCAATCCAAAAAAATTTTCTACGTGAAAAAAAATTTTAAATGAGTTTCGTGTTAGGTATAAGCACACACCTGTTCGAAGTGCCTGGCTCTGCTAATAACCGGTACTTATATACCTCCGAGCTGTTCAACAATGAAAAGACGCCCCTTAAGGGAGGCACGCTTTTGCATATATTTCGAGTCTAATTCAGTCGTCGCCGAGTGAAGATCAATCACTTTTTCGAGGTAGGAAATATTCAACCGTCCATTATTGCTGTACTTTCGGTATGTGTACTTACATATATAAATATATATGTAAATATACATCTTATATACTATATATAGATATATATCGAAAAAAAAAAAATATATATATATATATATACACACGTATTAAAATAGGTGCAGATACGTATGTATACATATGTACACACGTGTATTGTGGTGTGGAAATATGCATAATTGGAGAAAAATTGGAAATTAATGGTATTGTTAGGGAATTATTTCATAATTATATAAAAAATATATTGAATTCTATAAATGATATAAAAAATGGAATTAATTTTAATTACAAGATGTCTTCTACGTACAAAAAAATATGGAAGAAAAAACACACCATACACATATATTATTATACACGTGCGTGTATACATGTGTACGCATGTTCTCGCACGTATAAATCCGTATTATACTACATTATATCCGAGCCAGCGTTACCAGTTACACATGCAGGGTTTTGAAATACTTAGATATACGTTCATTTACATTTATAATAGAAGCGATTTAATCATTTAATCACTTGAGTGACAAAGTGAAATAATTCCTTTAGAATTATATATTTCATAATATAATCATTTAACACATTGAACATCAATGTGATCCTTGGTAAATAAATTTGGATCTAGAAGAAAATTTTCAATGTTTATTATAAGTCTGTTTAGTTGAAATTTCATTTAAATTATCATCATCAATTGAAATTTTAATTTATTCAATATTAATTGATGAAATATAATAAATAATACTTTATAATGATCAATAAAAAATATAATTATAATGGCATCATGACGTTTGATGTATTAAGATAAAAATTATTCTTTTATTGGTACTATATAAAAAGTATTTAAAAAATTGAACAAAAATTCTTAAAAAATATTGTTTAATCGTTCGTTTTGTCATTGAATTCGTTAAACAAAAGATAATTGTCACTCTAGAGATTGGAAAACAAAAAGTGTGTTTTTTAAATGTCGATTCAATATCGCTGAATATACAGCGATCGTGCCGCAATAATCATCGATATTTTTTCATATTTTTATCGTTTCTACCTCCTGCAATCAGAATCACAAGTGAAAAAGAATTTATTTCAAAGAAACGTGTTTTGATACAATTACAAAAATTGATTTGCTTGAATTTTTATTCATTATTAAATGACAATATTCGTATTGTTGTACTTTTAGGTTAGAAATTTTGGATCGCAAATAATGTGAAGATAATATAAGTATAATGTTAAAATTTCTGTCTTTATTATTAAAAATAATTTCATTTTTCTTAATATGGCAATTTAATTGCATTTCATTCGTCTATATTGAAGTAGATATATGTATATCAACAAAAATAAATATTTTATGTGAGTGGCGCGAATATTTGAATATTTTATGTTTTATTAGAAATTTATTAATAATCTGTTTAAAATGTTTGAATTATTTTAGTTCTATTTTAAATATCAATATTATTTTAAGTTTTTATATAGACAATTACTTGTAAGTAGAAAAATGATTATTTTTGTTTTTTTTTGCAAAACAAATTCAATGTCTAAATTTTCTTTGCAATTAGTATTTTTAATTAAAATTCTATTGTAAGTTCAGAAATAATTTTAAAAGTAAATGAATATATGTATATACATTGAATATTTCCAAAATATTTTTTCAAATTCATTTAATGTTAATTCATTTTTCAAGCATTGCGAAATGAATGTATATTTTTTTAAAACCAAAGAAGAAATTTTCATTTATTCTTGTGCAATTTTAATTTGATCGAACGTTTTGTTTTCTTCATTTGCTGAATAATGATTAAATTAATCGCATAAATCAAACTTAATAATGTTTTCTGTTTGCGATTGAAATTTCTAAAATTTTTAACCTGAAAAAATTCCAATTAATTTCTTTATTAAAAATTTTCAGATTGATCAATTTCTCAAGCTTAAATTTCTTAAGCTCAAAAATCACTTTTTAAAAATCATTTAACATTCTTCGATACGTTCTATCAATCACTAATCACTAATTATATAAGGAGAGGAAAAAATGTCGTGTTACAATTGTAAATAATTTATCGAAAATCCTCGAATTAAAAAAAAGAAACGAGGCAGAAAACGAGAAAAGAGAAGGACTAGAAAATTTCAATAGAAATTCAATGTCTGGGAAAGAATCATAGCGGCTAGAGGACCAAAGATAGCATAAGTCGGACCTAGTCGAACGGTATTTCGGGTAGAAAAGATAAAAAGAATTCAAAGAAAATTCGAATATTAAGCGAAAAAAATATAAAATATAGAATATTAAATATACCCGAAACATTCACCAAAGACTTTGGTCCTTGTGTCTGTGCGTACGTACGGATTGTATTATATCTACCATTAGGATTAATCGTTTTAAGAGCGCGAATTTTTGAAATCGAAATGTCTGTAAGCGAGTGAACTTAATATTATCTCTTTATTCCAATCGTGGAAATAATTGTTAAACCGTGTGATCGCGTTTCAGGTTATTATTACATCGATCAACGTGTCGATATATTATCGATCGACGAAGAAATTTTATTCGATTAAACATTAACCCTCAAACGATTTTATTTTATAATTATCTTTTTTTTTGTTTGAAAAATTTTGTTAAAAATAATGTTTCTTTAATTCTTAGTGATAATCTGATTAGACAAATTTATTAAAGAAAATTTGACGATTGTAAATGATAACTTGAGGGTTGAATAGGGGACGAATAAAATTTGATATAGAAAAATTACCGATGCATCGATAAATAGATTTAATTGTATGCGAGAGTGTGTGATTGTCGAGTGTTAGCGAGAAATTTTTGTGTTAATCGGTAAAACCAAAAAATATGTTTATAATTGGTATAAAAATGGTATATCGATTGAATAAATTGTTTTTCTTACAAATCATGAATGTCTTTCGTTTTCTTGCAAAATGATGAAGTGATTTCTAATCATTTTTCTTCAAAAAAATCAGATATTACTTAATCACTTAATATATACCGACGAATATTTTCGTAACAGCTGGTTAAAAAGAATGTTAAAGCGTTCTATCCACGTGTTTAGTGGTGCTCAGTCATTTAAGAGAAGTAAACGAAGTGGAAGAGAATAGGATGAAATCGTTCGCATTCTTTTGGTAAGATCGGTCAACTAAACAACAGGGGATAATTTTTCGTTTTTCTTTGAATATTAATCAGAATTATCTATTATCTATTCAATAAATTGTCATAATTTGCTTTTTTACTTCAAGGCTATATTTCATAATTGTGCAATTTTTTGAATCATCAGATTCTCAATAATATTTTTATAAATAAAACTTTAAAAATATCTTCATGAATAAAAGTTTAAAAAAGTTAAATATAAATTATTGGCTACTTATTCCTAAACCAATTTACGAAATATTTCTAACTAGATATATTATTTCTCATATTTCTATTAATTGTTCATTACATTATATATACACAATACTTATATGCAATATACAAATAAATATCTTTTGTATTTAATATTGCATTCATTCTAATAAATAAAATCAAAACTTTAAATAAACATATTTCTACTTTTATTATCTATACTTTTATTATATAAAGAATTATAATAAATTTCAAACATTTTCGAATAAAATAATTAACAATTTTTAAAAAAAAAAACATATTTATCATACAGACTACGATTCACGAAATGAAGAATATTAAGCGCATAAATAAATAATCACGTTTTATTTCGAAAAGTTACAACTAAACTCTTCGTCCTCGAAAGGTATATCATTAATAATTTCTTCTTTCATTCTTACCAGTCACGTGAGGCAAACATCCGAGTAAGAGTGTAGGTTTCATGGCGTTTCGCTTATCTTCTATATTAGCGTATTCCACTGCGACACGCTGCTTCCACAATATAAATAACAAGTCGGTAAACAATAGCGTTTTTACTAGAGGTACTCGTGTCACGCTATGCGGATGGCAAGCTTGATCGTTCTACAATTACATTTCACGTAATCTTTATATTTTTATTCATCATTTTTTTTTTTCAAGTCATGTTGTATGCAAGATCGAACATTATAACATTATATCAAAATTATTCATAAAATTATTATCAAATATAAATTTTATTGCTCGTGATAAATAAATATATAAGAACAATTATTATCCTTGTTTAACCACCCTCGAATTACACTACTTTAAAATTTTTAGAAAATTTTTATTCACGATTAATATTACATGCAATAATTGTAATTCTAATTCTTTCTTGCATCAACTTGATTTCTTTTTTGGATATTCTTTAGAATTTTATTCTTCAGAATGAGAGATTTGTATATTAAATATTCATCACAACTGGATGGAAGATATAAGAATATAAAAAAGATTTCATAAATTGTTTTATTAATTTACAAATATATGTATAATTTAAAAATATTTCTAATTTTGTTAAATATACATTTCTATTGTATTATACATATATATAATAAATGATAGATATATATAAATAGATATGTAATAGAAATATATGTAAATATACATATAAATATATTCTGTTATAAAATTATATATTTTTATCATATGGTAATGATATTTGTTTATTCTATGTATAGTAAAATTTGTGGAAATTTAATAGAAACATTTGAACGTCCTAAATTGAAATGTTTCTGTTCCACCCTTCGAAGCCTTCGAGCGGAGCAGGTGAGAAAAAGGCGCATAAAAAAAAAAAGGAAAAAGCAGGATCGACGGTGTAATAGATTATCGATGATTATCCATCGCC